GTAGAATATGTGACAATGGAGCCCGCTGCGTGATACAAAACGAAAGGATGGCATGTGGAGGTGTAACAATGAAAAGCAAATATTGAAGTAATAATGAATAAATTAAAATATGAAATTGCTTACCTTGCATTTCGTTGTGCGAAAATTGTGAGCCATGCTGATTGTGAAACGGTTTTCAGATCGTTCATATCGAAGCCTTGTTTTACTGTTTCGAGGCTTTAAAAGCAAATGATTCAAATGACGTTATAAAGTAGTCTAAATTATGTAAGGAAAATATCTAGTAACTTAAAACCCAAATTACTTACTTATCAAGTTGTCAAATATCACGGTCTTAGTTTTGATTATGAAAAAAAATACGATTATATCTTTACTTGGTTACTCATTCATCATATGAACTGATTTACAATAAGTCCTTGCGTCGAAAATGCCTTTGTTACGATTGCCTCAATTCTTTAAGTTTATATTTAATCTACAACAACAGTACGTGCACGAAAACTCCGCCATTTTATACTTCGTAAATAACGTTTAACTCTGTGATGTCATCATTAGTGAAAGTTTGAAAAGCTATTAAATAATTACTTCAGCATACAGTACAAAAATATATAAAATTTGTGTTTAAAATGATCTTATGTATAAAGAATCAATATAAAAGTGGAACTTTGAAAAAAAAACTTTACACACAGAAATATGAAATTTGCAAAAGCTGCGTAGAAAATTAAATTAAAAAATATGCAGCAGCTGTCACAAATCAAGAAAACAGAGTAAAATAATAGATTTCTTAGGATATGAGATAGAAAATGTTTTTGTTATAAATCTTCGTACACTGGAAAATGTTTACTTTTTAATTTTACGGCTGTCTTCACGAAGTTGAAAGTCAGACAGAGCGACGCCTGACACAAAAGATGTGATGGCACTGTTGCGAAAGTGTACTGATAAAAATGATATTCACTGACTAATTTGTACACGGATATTCTACTGCACTTTGTTGTATCGCAAAACTATTTTATCTATATGCTATTTTTAATTTGAATGAATCACCTGGTATGCTTTGTGTATAGACTGCAAAGAGGTATATATTCAATTTTACTCCAAGTGCCAGTAACACCTACACGTGGTGCATTCTACAAATAAGCAAACGAGGATTATTGCGTAAACACTTTCGTTTAGTGGAAACTTTTAGAAAAGGTTTTATAATTAGCAGTGAGTGTAACAATGGTTATGAAAATAACACTCAGTAATGATGTAGTGCAAGCACTACTATTTTCCGGCTGAAATTGGTAAGAAGTCGGTACCTACCCACATGGACTAATAGGCAGAAAAGGAGTCCACCAAGTAAAACTTGATTATAAGATGTTGCTGTAACCCATGAGTAACTGCAATCTTTGATGAATGAATACGATGAATCTTTGATCGGAAACTAAAGGAGATGTATAAAATTGGGTGCTTTAGATCGTTCGTAACAGTTATACAAAAATATGTAGGTAATATAAATTATAAGCATAATTAAATGGTTTTTATTTCTGCGATGTATGGTTCAATCATAAAAACATTTCTTTAAACTGTAAAATGAAAGCTAAGCTAAGCTAGTTTTTGCTATGGTAAAGCGCTTTTACCATAGCAAAAACAAAACCTTTTTAAATATTTTTATGTATTTTGTCTATGGCATTAGATAATGAAGGCTATATTTTTTGTAATAAATATCAGTATCAAAAAATCATAATATTGACAAATTGAGGCGAATCTTATAGATTAGTACTGAATAAAAGAAATCTATATAGAAAATCGATTGAATAGGCTACGTTATTAAACTAAACAAACTATTTGAATAATAGCGAACACGATTGAATAGCCTGTATGGTCCTTGATTATTGCCTGTTTCGAAGGAGACTTAACTTGGTAACTTCGAGTTTAAACTTGAAACTTGACATGCACATTTGGCATTGTGGTTGTGTTTGTGGATATATTTAATGTTCTTTTTCGTGAGTTAATATAACTTGACCCTTGACTTTCTCTCGATTTACAGGACAGTAGGTTGTTGCGGCCACATAATGACAATAATGTGTCACTTGGGTTTTGAGAGGAATAGAACAGACAATGTACAGCCTCAGGCTGCTTTTCTAGATGACATTTTATTAGTAATTGCAGAAAATGATTAAACAATTGGAAAAGTTTGAGTTTTATTTTATTTTATTTTATTTAATAATAACTAAAAACGGCATCCTTTTGTGTACTTTTCAATTTATTGAAACAACTTATCCTAAGAACGAATGATTTTACTACATAACCTACAAACAAAGAGATTTAAATATATAGGCATACTAAAGAGCGGACATTGGGAACATTTATATACAAAAACTTTGAGCTAGTGCGCGTGTGGCACCCTCTAGCTAAAAATAGCAAAACAACGCTAAGCATTTATTAAGACAACATTTTAGCTATTCCCCAGTAGGTGATGGTAATAAATATAACCTAGTTTTAGGAATGTTACAGTTTCGATGTCAAAGTATCGATAATGTCGTTGAAGATTACTAAGTTTGAAATGTTTTCGATATAATAATAGGGAATATACATAATTGTTTTTTTGTATAAATTTATTTATCATAACATCCATCACACGAAAAAAAAACATTTACGCCCCTTTAGTGTCATGAAATAAAATATTTAATTTCCAATAACTAAGAATCAATTCAAATAGCAGTCACTTTGGTTGCCACTTTCGTGGCATGACGTCAAGCGGTCCATTAGCTGCTATAATAATAGCATATGATTTATCGGTCGGTAAGACAGGGTGACGTTGTATCCCCGGAACTCTTCACCGCTGCATTGGAAGATGTTTTCAAGCTAATGGACTGGAAAGGATGCGGTATTAACATCAATGGCAAGTACATCACTCAACTTCGATTTGCCGATGATATAGTACTTATGGCAGAATCGCTGGAGGACCTAAGCACTATGCTCAATGACCTCAATAGTGTCTCCCAATGGATAGGTCTTAAGATGAACATGGACAAAACAAACATCATGTTTAACGTCCATGTCACACCTATGCCGGTAGTTGTTGGGAACACTAAGCTCGAAGTTGTTGATGAGTATGTTTACCTGGGACAAATAGTCCGACTAGGTAAGTCCAACTTCGACCGAGAGGTCAATCGACGGATTCAACTCGACTGGGCAGCGTTCGGGAAACTACGACACATCTTCTCGTCAGATATACCTCAAAACCTTAAAACAAAAATGTACAACCAGTGCGTGTTGCCAGTGATGACTTACGGATCTGAGACGTAGTCCTTACCTGCTGGCCGTATGAGGAAGCTTAAGGTCACTCAGTGAGCTATGGAGAGGGCTATGCTCGGGGTTTCTCTGCGTGATAAACTAAGAAATGAGTATATCCGCAGTAGAACCAAAGTAACCGACATAGCCCAACGGATTAGTAAGCTGAAGTGGCAGTGGGCCGGCCATATAGCTCGAAGACCCAACAACAGATGGAGAAGAAAGGTTCTCGATTGGCAGCCTCGTACCGATAGGCGAAGTGTAGGGCGACCCCCCACTAGATGGAGTGACGACCTGGTAAAACATGCAGGAAGTCGATGGATGCAGGTGGCTCAGGACCGTGCTTTGTGGCATTCCTTGGGGGAGGCCTATGTTCAGCAGTGGACTTACGAAAGGCTGTAATGATGATGATGATGACAATAAAAGTGCGTAAAAGTTAATATGATTTTTTTCGTGTGATGGAAGTCATGGTAAGTAGATTTATACAATAAAACAATCATGTATATTTCCTAATATTATATCGAAGAGCATTTCAAACTTAGTAATCTTAAACAAAATTGTCGATACTTTGATATCGAAACGGTAACATTCCTAAAAAGAGGTTATAATTATTAGCGTCACCTACTGGGGAATAGCTTAAATGTTGTCTTAATAAATGCTTAGCGTTGTTTTGCTATTTTAGCTAGAGGGTGCCACACGCGCACTAGATCAAAGTTTTTTTTAATTTATTATTAGATAAAAATTGTTACAATATAGCTATGCGGCACAGCGAAAAACCACGCAGGTTTGTGTTGCGTGCCGTTCCATCTACATTTACAAAAATCGGGATAACAATTTTAAGGAAATAACATTTTAATTTATACTTTATGTTAACTTCATTAAGTTCGCTTCTAAATTTATTATCCATACCATTTATTAAGCGAAGTATTATGTATGCGCTGGTGCGCTCACCATATTTATTTTTGGATGGTATTCTTATTAATATTTTTTGAGTTACTTTGCGTGTCTGAATTTTGTTTGAGACTCTATGTTGTATACCTAAATTAAAGAATTGTTCTTTTAAAAATTGATATTGGACTTTATCATGGATATTGAGTACCTTGCAGTGTTTAAATATAAACTTTTCATTTGTTTTCGCCTGGAGTTTAATTTTTATAGGTACAATCGCTTTTAAAATCCTAAGTTATAGTTGATAAATATAGTGTAGGTGTGATTTGTCTGTTCGTCCGTAGCTACTTAGCCCATAAATTATGACTGAATCAGCAAGAGCGTTATAAAGCATCATTTTGACTCGAAAGTTTAATCGCTTTCTAAATATAAACATATTCGCCCAAAATATTCTATGCTTATCACATACATGCTTTATATGCTCGTACCAATTGAACTTATGGTCTACTACTAAGCCTAAATATGTATGCGACGTAACCAATTCAATCGTGGAAAACTTATAATTAAACTGGGGTTGGTGAAAGCAATTATGATTATGCGCAATGATTTTATGTTTTAATATGCTATGAGACTTTAAGTTTGACGAGTGTATATGTATTTATTTTGTCTTTTGAGAATTTAATATCAAACCGTTATCATGTCACCATTTATTTAATTAATCAAAATCATCCTGTAACAAAAGCAGGGCGTCATTTACATCCTTAGCAGCCACAAGCATACACGTATCATCAGCGTATTGATAGTACAATATCTAAAGATCTTATTCATGTCATTGACATTGGCTATAAAATGCAATAGTCCAAGTATGGAACCTTGAGCTGTGCCTTCGGTTTCTTTGACTGATGTGCTGTAGCTTTCACAAATTTTAACACGGTAGCTTCTATTGGTCTGATAGTTTTACACAAATTTAAAAGAGGTCCACGAATACCTGTATTTTCTAACTTCCTAATCAGCTTATTATGATCTAAAGTATCAAAGGCGCGAGAAAAATCAATAAACAGGGCTAGAACATGTAGTTTCTGATTCATCCATGAATTAACTTGATCTGTGAATTCCGATAATAGCTTTGCAGTGTTCTTACCAGGTCTGAAACCGAATAGGCTAGAGTATAAAATATTACTTTATTGATAAAACTTCTGTATTTGATTACAGATATATTTTTACGCTATTTTATCTATTGATGATGTTAAAGTAATTGGTCTATAATTATTTGTGTCATCAAACTTACCTTTTTTATGGATGGTTCTAACACATCCCACCTTAAGTTCATCTGGATATGTCTCTGTTTTAATACAGGTATTTATAAATTTAGCTAAGGATTTTGAAATTGTATTGGCAATGCTCTTAATATCTCTCATTCTAATGCAATCAAAACCTGGGGCTTTATACTGATAAAAAATTAATTAATTAATAACTTAAGTACTGACTTAACTTATTAATTAATTTATTTACACTATCTGGCGTTGCCTTCTTAAAGTACATACTACAATTATTTACATTTGCTGGTAAATTGTTTTGATCGTATTTTAATATATTAGGGTTGCAATTTGGAAAAAAAATCTTTCACGGCAGAGTCAAAATTATTCGCTAAATTGTCTGCAATACGTTTTGGTAAAAGATTCAATGATTTAAAAACATTTAATATAACTTCATCTATTGATTTTATAAATCTACCAGCGATATCATTCAAAACTTGCCATAATTTTCTTGAATTAGCAAATTTTTTATTTATTTTATTTTTATAATAAGAATTTCTCTAATATTCAGTTACCTTGTTTACCTTATTTCTTTTCCTATTGTATTCTTATCTTAATACTATGTTATTCTAGTCTTTCTTCCATATATTAAATAGCTCATCACGTTTATCACTTAAATTATTTATTTTTGTATATAAATGTTCCCAATGTCCGCTCTATGGTATAATTATATTTTTAAATCTCTTTGTATTTGTGTCATCCTGTACAGAATGCTTCTCCTGTAGGATAATTTAGATATATCATAACATTTTGTTAATACTGGTTACTAATATATAGGCGCGAAGAGTAATATCGAAACTACCAATAACCTAAGAAATTGTTTTACAAAATAATGATGTGAAATCTTACCAATTTCAATTACGCAGCGTAAAATAATATCTTCTTTAACCTTTAAATGTAAAGATTATGTGCAAAGGATCTGTTGGTCCACGTTTTTTAATGGTTCATTTGAAGGTGGTACCGACTGGGATCCCTTTCAGAAGCCTATTCCGTCGTTTTTTGTTTTGAATCGTATGAAATATTTTTGAATATTTAATTATCAAAGAAATTGGCGGGAATTACAATAACAATAAAAATATTGGTTAAAGATATATGCATAAGGATGATTAAGAAATACCACACAAATAATTAATAGTTTCATTTTAACAACGAATAAGTAACGAAAAATAAAGCCTACACAATATATATTATACCAAGGACCAAGCTTGAAATTACGGTACCATAAAATTGATCCATTACACTTGCGAAACATAAGCTACATTTGAATCATTTCTTTGTGTATAATTTCGCATGCTCCTGACGTCAAGCGGCAAAGCAATTATCTTGAAAGCAAAATTATGCATTGTCTGGGTTCATTTAAAAGCGGTAAAAATTGCGAACATTTTAAGTTTACATATTTTTAATACTTGACGTAATTTGAATTCTTATTGCCTATTTCATAAAGATATCATTTTTATTAAGATTTAGAAGTTTTCAATGTCGCATAATAAATAATAATTCCCAGTATATGAATTCCTATTTACGTATAAATTCACAGCAGAGATAAATCAGCATTCGGTGCTGGTAAGGATTGAATTCCGCGATCGGATACTATGAAATTTTAAGACAATCATTAAACTACCGTGGATTTACTCAATTTCCGGATATTTTAAAGTTTAGTTGACGTTTTAACTTCGACTCTACACAGAATATGAATGACAGTACTTCTCGGTAGAGAATAATTGTGTTCTGTTGATGGAACTAATAAATAAAAATTTGTTAGTTAAGAAAAAAATAACTTGAAATGATACTAACAGAAAGTTTTTAAAATATATATCTATGAATACAGTAGATGGTCAAAAATAAATAAATTATTAAGCTATAATCTAAGATTTAAGCTAAGTGCAAACTCGATTACAGGCTGCCACGACTTGCAAGTGCGAGTATTTAATGTTTATTTAAAAAGTAATAAAATATAAAAAAAACTAAATTAATCCAAAATTATTCCATACACAAACTTGCACCTAGGAGTAACTTTTTGAATTTATGGAGGCTATTTAAAAAAAATTTCAAGATCCGTTTTTTTTCTGGAGCGCATTGTATTGTCGTTGCAGCCTGTTCATTATCACAGGATGGCCGAGATTGCTTTTAAATTCCTTGGTAGAAAATGGTGTGTATTCCCTTTTTCGCGAGATTTAATAGGGTGTATTAAGCCGAAGCTGTTCCAACAGTCCAGTGCAATCCAGATCACCTCTTACAATTTTATATAAAAACTAATGATCTAATATAAGTCTCCTATTTTGAATTTTGAAATTCTATCGACGTACGAAGGCAACTGCTTAGCTAGACCGGATTAAAATGAGAAATGCCATAAAAATCTTTTCTCTACACGTTCTAGTCACTTAACATATACTTTGTAGTGTGGTGACCAAACCGGGCTGCAATACTTTAAAATCGAACGAACTTATGAGTTATATAATAAAATTTTAGTGGCTAGTTTTAGGTCCTTACAGTTACGAATTACGAATACTAGCATTTTGAAGGCCCTAGGTGTTATGTCTTCAATGTGTTTGTGAAATCGAAGTTTTTATCCAAAATTACGCCAAGGTCCCGGATAGAATCTACCTCTTTGTTTTCCATTGATGTGGTATTAAAGTGATGCTTGCAACCTGTGCCGTGAGAATCTAATAAAATTATATTTATCAATATTTAGTTCCATTCGGTTTTGTTCGACCCAGATTGCTAGATTATCAACATCCTCTTGAAGAAGATCAACATCAGTGGCCGAGTTGATTTTTCTACTAATGTTTTAGTCATCTGCAAAAAGACGTTTGAGTATTTTAAAACCGAGACTATATCATTTATGAAGATGTTAAATAGGGTAGGGCTAAGATGAGAACCTTGGGGTACGCCTGAAAGAACTGGCAGTGGATCAGAAGTAAAACCTTCCAGGACTACAATTGCCACTCGATCTGATAAATAAGAAGAAAACCACTTAAGCCATCCATCCCAGAAGCCATAGCCTGCAAGTTTTGACAGTAGAATACTATGGTCCATTATGTCAAAAGTCTTGCTGGAGTTGGTGTAAATAGTGTCAACTTGATTGTTCTTGTCTACTGACTGACTAATATCTGACGCTAATTCAGCAAGGTTCGATACAGTCAAACGATTCTTTACTAACCCAAACTGTCGAGCCGTGATAAAATGTTTAATGTGCCAGGATAAAATAGGACAAAGAAGTGATTCGAATATTTTAGCAATAATTGGTAGCAGTAAAATTGGTCTGTAGTTTTTATTAGTTTGTCATCACCAGACATAAATACTGGCACAATAAGGGCTCTCTTCCAAACTGTAGGAAATTCCCCTCGACGCAATGATTCATTAAAGATCAATAAAAGCGGATATGAAAAATACTCTGAACAGCGAATTAGAAACCCCGAAGAAAATCCCATCGGAAATAGCACCCTTTGCGGGATCAAGTTTCTTTAGGGCAAGTTCGATTTGTCGCGGCGAAGTTGTAAGTGTAAGTATTAGTCACCACTGGTGGAAGAACCACTTGTCTTGTAGCAGGTGAGGGTACACTATAAGCTAACATGAAGCAAGTGGCAAACAGATTAGCTATATCCCTTCCAGAACCAGCCGTCTCGCCATCATAGTGCATTATAGAGGGGAAATTACTACAATTAAATTTTTTATGTTTAATGAACGACCAGAACAGTTTGGGTTTCTTAGAGAGTGAGTTTCTATGTCAGATAAATATTAATTTTCAGCGCAAGAAATAGTCGAGTCGCTAGATAATTTAAAATTACAAGTCACAATAGTTTACTAATTTTTAACTCTAACGTGAACGTAACTGTATCACTTATATATTGTACTGCGCGAGTGATTTACAGCTTTGTACGTAGGACCACTTCGAGTAAAGAAGTCAATCTCCTAATTTTTGTCTCGCTTACGTATCGCATCACGCTAGGCTCAACTATCATGAGTACCCCACAGATCAACATGAACCTACACTAATCCCGTGCTGGAAGTGATACTATTTCGGCACGATGTGGTTCTTACCCAGATCTAGCAAGTAAAACCATGTGTCAAGATACAACTTATTATTCACAAATAACTTTTGCAATAAACAAAAATTATAAAATAAAAACGACAATTTAAAGGCTGAATTCACAGAAATTAGAAAACAATTGAGAGCAATGCAAAACCAATTGAGTGAAATAATGACATATCTAATAAAAATTACTAATATGCAAGTCGAAAACTTCAAAAAAAATCAACGAGGATGTCTCCACTATAAAACAACAAATAAAAGATATTAAATTAACTGACACCTTAACTGCAAAACAAACTAAACTAATAGTTGAATTGGACAATCTCAAAAAATTTGCAATATAACAGAAAAGAAAAGGGAATCAATTCAATCTAATATTCTAATTCAAGATATTACTCCATTAAGCTCGTCTTCTATATTGAATGCGCAAGAAGAATAGTAGCCGAACTCAACGAACGTACTATGAGGAGAAAAAGTATAATTATCACTGGTGTGCCAGAATCAAAATCTAACAACCTAAATAAGAGATACGATGAAGATGCAGTCCTAAAGATCATCAAAACTATACTGCCTGTTGACGTCACTGACTCACAAAAATTTTAATCAGGTAAGGATAGACACCTGAAAGCTTGTTTTGCATCCCAAGAAACATTAAAGTTAATACTTAAGAATAATCAAAAAATCAAATCAACAATAAAATTAAAAATAATCAAAAAAACAAATCAAAAAATTAAATGCCAACCCAAGCATACAACTGCAAGACTTCAAGATACTGTAAGTTCATACTGCATAGATCGGAACAAAATTTAATAATTTTTAATCGGGAGGTAGCCTTGGTTAACTATGACATTGGGACGTCATACACCTTAGTCCTTCCCGTGACCATGGGTGCTGTAAAGTGCTCGAAACGTCGGGAATATGAAATAATTAATATGGTAATATAAAATAAGTAAAATTAGTTTTATTTAAATGTGTAGTGTTCGCGTATGAGGATGCGATGAGGAGGTGGAAGACATGTATAAGGATATCTCTAGAGCCATGTATTCCTCTAAAACCCACTATACGGTGTTAAAGGGAGACTTCAATGCAAAACTAGGCACAAGAGAGAACGGTGAGCTGAAAGTAGGGAAATTTGGAATAGGGCAACGGAACCCAAGAGGCCAGCAGCTGGCCGACTTCATGGAGAAAGAGGGACTCTTTATGATGAACTCTTTCTTCCAGATGCGGCCCCACAGGAAGTGGACCTGGTCGAGCCCCGACTGTTCCACAAAAAATGAGATTGACTTTATTATGACGACCAGACGACAACTGTTCAGTGATGTCTCCGTGATCGCGAGGGTGAAAACTGGTAGCGATCACCGAATGGTTAGAGGCACACGGAACCTAATCATTAAGTTGGAGAGGTCTCGTTTAATGAAGTCAACGCCTCGAAGTCCTCCTCGTGCTCTGTTTCAGAGTACCAAAACCTTTCAGCTCGAGTAACAAAACCGTTTTCAGTGCCAAGAAGACTGCAATGAATTGGACAATATGAACGACAAGCTCGTGGAAACTGTCCGGTCGGAGCTAAGTTTTGCAAGACCCGCCGCAGAAGAACACAAAAACTCTCCGATCACACGTTTAATCTCATGGCTGTTAGACGGGAGATGAAGCTACATTCTTCAACAGATTTGACAGCATACAGGAAACTCAACAGACAGATAACCAAATGCATGCGGCGGGACTTACGTAACTTCAATACAGCTTATATTGAAGAAGCGATCGAGCAAAACCAAAGCTATAAAGTCTTTGCCAGGGATCTTCTGCCAGAAAGAGTCAACTGTCAACGCTGAAGATCGAATGTGGCAGCATCGCTCTCGGGACACCTGAGATTTTGAGTGAGATTGAGAGGTTCTATGGGCAGCTGTATACGTCATCGTTGGAGCCACACGCAAGTATGAGTAACGATCCAAGAGCGAATCTTATCCGACACTATTCCGAAAATATTCAGTCTGAGCGAGATTAGAATGGCTCTCCAGCACCAGCAAGGCGACAACGCTCTCTTGAAGAACTACAGACCGATTTCCCTTCTGAGCCGCGACTACGTGCTGTTTTCAAGAGTCATTACGAATCGTCTCGCGCGCAGAATTGACGACTTCCAGCCTCCCGAACAAGCCGTTTTCCGAAAAGGCTTTAGCACCATAGACCACATACATTCTCTTCGGCAAATTGTACAGAAGTCCGAAGAGTATAATTTGCCACTATGTCTGGCGTATGTGGACTATGAGAAAGCCTTTGTACTGTCGAAATTTGGGCGGTGCTGCAGTCCCTTCAGCGGTGCCAAGTTGACTGTCGATATAGAGAAGTGCTGAAGTGCTTGTACAGTAGAGCTACGATGGCTATCCTAGTACAGGACCAGAGTACGAAACCTATCCATTTGCAGAGAGGTGTAAGATAGGGTGATTTTATATCCCCGGAACACTTCACCGCTTCATTGGAAGATGATTTCAAGCTAATGGTATGGAAATCATGCGGTATTAATATCAATGAAAAGTACATCACTCAGCTTCGATTTTCCGACGATATAGTACTTATGGCAGAATCGCTGGATGACCTTAGCACTATGCTCAATGACCTCAATAGTGTCTCCCAACGAATTTGTCTTAAGATGAACATGGACAAAACAAACATCATGTTTAACGTCCATGTAACACCTATGCCGGTAGTTGTTCGGAACACTAAGCTCGAAGTTGTTGACGAGTATGTTTATCGGGAACAAATAGTCCGATTAGTTAAGTCCAACTTCGACCGAGAGGTCAATCGACGGATTTAACTCGGCTGGGCAGCGTTCGGAAAACTACGACACATCTTCTCGTTAGATATACCTCAAAACCTGAAAATGAAACTGTACAACCAGTGTGTGTGGCCAGTGATGATTTACGGATCTGAGACGTGGTCCTACACTGCTCGCCATATGAGGAAGCTCAAGGTCGCCTATGGTCGCCAAGGAGGCCTATGTTTAGCAGTGGACTTATGAAAGACTGTAATGATGATATATATATATATATTAATTTGCTCAAAACGTAATAAGTTATTGCAAAATTTTTGTGATAAAATAAAAAAACTTACAAACTTCCAAGATACACAACACGTTACAGAAAAAAATATCATAAAAAATAAACTAATGACTTTGTGTCAGTTTTTAAAAATGTTACAAGATATTACAAAAAGATACAAAAATAAATGTCAAAAAGTTCTGATCTGATTGACGATATAGAGCTGTCACTTAATCATACCTTTGAAAACTACGCCAGTTGTAAACAATACTTCTGTGAAAAGTGGTGTGGTGGTGGGAATTAAGAACAAACAAAATCTTTCTTTTCTAATTTTTTATATAAGCCGCCGAGTTATATCTAAGTAGAAAGTGAAATAGGCCACGTGCCAATTTAATTAAATATATTTTATATGAAGTGATCTTAATTACGCTTCATCAAATAACCATTGATAAAAATGAGAAAAGCAATTTTACAATTGTGTTTACAAGAAACAGTATCAGTTGAACCTTGCAGCTTGTTCTTTATTTTTATTATAAATACCTATAAATGTATATATTATTAATAAATCAGTCCCACAACATTTTGTATTATTTTTTATTTTGCCCTATCTGAAACGTTCTATACTCTACAGAAATTGTGGCGTATGAATAGACTGATAATCACTAGAACATTTTATCTAGGTACAAAGATGTTTTACGTTTTTGTGGCCTCCACATGATATTTTTCTCAGCATTAGGTACCCTTCTGTATCTGAAACGAATATGAATATTGGATATGTATACGATACAAAAGTAAAGTAACAGGCTATATAAGTCCCTCTACTAGGCACAGGACTCTTATTATTTCTGAAAGGGTTTGAGGGCAACGAAATGTTCGCCGCTCTGCTCCAATGTGTGTTGGCGAACTTCACATGTCTTCGAATTTTTTTTTCTTATTCCTCAGACATGCAAGTTTCCCCCGATGTTTTCCTTAACCGCCGAGCACGTGGTAAATCAGCACTTAAAATTGCAAATAAAAATGTCATTTGTGCTGCCGGGGATCAAACCCGGGCGAAATTTATAGCGGACGCTTAGTTCCAGAGCTATTAATACGTCACAAGTAAATACGATTCAACAAATATAATAAAAACTCTTACATACTTAAAACGAAGACGAAGCTACAGCACCAACCGTGCAATGTAATTGTGGATGCTTAACCGCGACATAACTCTCAGTGATGCACAAGCATAATAGGCAGTATATCACTTATATGTCGTATATACCTTTGCACTTTTCTAAGTAATACAGAAAATAGTCGCTAGACGGTGTTCACGTTGTCTAAAATCTCTGCGTTCGCCGTTTTATCAACGTCATTCAGGCTTCTTAAAGCCTTAATATTGTTGTTGAAATTTTACCTTAGTTTTGTGCTCCGCTACAATCAGGTAAAAATGTTTTCCAGATATGTTTTTCATGAGTGACTGTTTATTTTTGTATGTTTTATAATTTTCATACAATAATGATTTCAGAAGCACTTCATTATTTCTTTTTATTTGCACTGCTACTACAAAAATATCTTGATTAGAATCACTATTAAAAGCGTAACAAGTTAATACTATCAATCAAACTTTAGTAACAAAAAATATAATTTTAAAAAGTGGCACCTAGTACCGGACGAATATTTGTGCCATACACCTAGCGCCGGACATTTCAAAATAACCTGCATCGATCACATATGAAGCCATCACCACACTCTGGAATGTCTGCACATGCTTCATGTACCCACCCACGACAGGATGAGCACTGGATCCAGTCTTCGTCAGTGTCTTCTAAGCAAACTACGCAAATTGTTATGTTTGTGTTAGATGTTTCAGTTAATGGTTCTACTTCACTTCCTTTCTTTCCTTTAGGTCTCACGTTTGTCGCTTCTTTTCCCTTGTCTACGCTCTTTCCTTTGGTTTTAATTCGTTTGGTTTGCTTTCCTTTACCTCCCATTGCTACTTTAAACTTAGATTTTATTTCCTTCTTTTTATCTTTCATGTTCTTTTTCTTCTGCCACTTTTTTGTATGGCGATGAAGTTAAAATTTCACTTCGTTCACTCTTTCTTTTTCGAGCTGCTGTTCGTTTTTTTGCTGCGTCAGGCAACGGTGATAAGTTATGGATTATCTGAACAAGATCGGGAGCAGTACTTGTCGACGGTTTGGGACTTGTGGTTATAGGCTCACTAATAGATTGTTCAGATTCTTTCATTTGCTCTTCTATGATTAAGTTTGATATCACGACAGCTTGTTCGTTGTTTAGTGCGTTCGATGAAGTTTCTGTTTGTTCTAGTGGTATATTGGTCATATCTGCAGCCAAATAATCTAGGTCAGAAAATAAATGTCTGTCAAATGGATGGATTCCAGTGCATTTGAATCCAGATACTGCAATATCCAATCGAGCTACTTTTATAAATGCTTCTTTGACCAAACCAGCAATGTCGTAATCCGTTATCCGACATCCAGCATTTGTTCTTATCCACAAGTCGCATCGTTGGCTGTATGCATCTTTAAATGGCTTCATAAATGTCCTGTCCAGAGGCTGGAGCTTGTGCGTAGTGTGTGGTGGTGAACTCATCAAGTGAATATGATTTTCTCTGCAAAAATTGATTACCGCCAATGTCTTGTGGCTGCAATGGCCATCCATTAGAAGCAGCACAGGGTTCTCTTTAGTTGGTTGCGTGTGTTTGACGAATATTCTTAGATATTGCAAAAAAAAGTCACTATTCATCCACCCTTTTGGCTGGGCCACACCGATGCTCTCAGCTGGAGCATTCACCATAAGCCTTTCATTCATTCTTTGTCTAGGAAATACGAAAAATGGGGGTATGTAGTGACCGTTAGCACTCATACAGAACAAAACTGTGATGTTTTTGCCTCTCTCAGCAGAAGTGAGCTTACCTACTTGACGGATGGCTTTCGGAGCGAGAACTTTTTGATGTTTGTGCACGCAACTGACACCAGTTTCATCACAGTTATAAATTCTTGAGGGTGTGAATTTGTACTGTTTCATCAGCTTTTCAAGGTTGTCGTAGAATAGATCCACTTGTGGTTTGTTAAATCCTACGGCGCGCATCATGCTTGTCGATTCCGGTGCTCTCAACGAAATGTCAGAATGCCTTTTCATGAAGTCGTAGTAAAAGTTTACCAGCACTGCCTTTTTCTTTATTAAATCAATGAGGAATCTTCATGACTTCAGCTAAGTCGTATGCTAATTTTTGAAACTCCTTTTTCATGAGCGGCATGCATCTATTCGATAAATCTTTAATGTGGTCCACCAAGACTTGTTCATACTCTGCTGAGAAGGTGCTAGTGAACCTACCTAACTTTAGTTTCATTGTTACTTCTTCTCCTCGATTTAGGGCCTTTATTTTATCATGTATAGTGCTTTTAGGAATATTGTATTGCATTGCAGCTTGTCTTACACTCAGTTCTTTTGACATAACCTTATCAATAGCAATTTGTAAGCTCTGTGGCTCCCAGGATCCTTTCTTTTTCTTCTCTTCCATTTTAAATATCTTCTTTCTTCTATACTCTAAAACAAAATTAAATAATTAGAATAAATGACATAAATTCTCACAAGAAATATCAATATGTTTACTGTCCGGCGCTAAGGGACGGCTTAGTGTCCGGTGCTAAGGGACAGACATTTTCGTTCATTAAGTGGTACCTACTAAAATTGTTTAAAAGATCTAATAATATTCTACCATTTTACGGATAACAATCAAGTACTACTTTTATCTTTGCATACCACTCAAATGTAAATGCATAAATATACTAGAATTACTTACATTGATATTTAGGTGACGCCGTGATTTCGCGCCTAAAACAGCAAACGGTTGCTCCCGCCGTGGCCGTGTGCGTCACTGGCGATGCGCGGCGCGTGATCCTGTACCTGTGTGCCCTCCGCGCCCCTTTCACTTGTATTTTGAATCGAACAGATTTATACTCGCTTAAATAGTACGAGTGTCCGGCGCTAGGTGCCGTCCGGCGTTACGGGACTTCCCCCTAATATATTTAATGATTAACAAAAACAATTGTTTCTTAAATTTTTTACTTTTTTTCCTGTTATATACAATATGTAACAAAAACCCTGTGGTTCCCGTTAAGTACGTTATCAGGATCAGCATTCAAACCTATAGAAATAACTATTTTTTAAAAACTCGACCATATTTTTTTTTGTTATTTTTTTTTAATTTTATGTGGTTTTGTTACCTCTTACTGACACTAGCCGATGCTAAAGCTAAGTAAAGCAAGGTCTTTGACAATCCTCTTACTCCCCAGACAATGCAAACGTAATAAAACCGCATACAATTTACATTCAATATTTTTTTAAATATAATAAAATAAAATATTGTTCGAGTTTTAAAAAAAAGTTATTTCTATACGTTTGAATAATGATCCTGATAAAGTACTTAACGGGAACCACAGGGTTTTTGTTACATATTGTATATAACAGGAAAAAAAAAGTAAAAAAATTAAGATACAATTGTTTTTGTTAAAGTAACCTTTATTAAAACGTTGCGACACTGGCATTATTGTATAAATAATTTCTATGTAAGCATGTTCGACGAACCGACAACCGATGGTGAAGAAAGTTTCTCAAGGACTAGTAGGCCTAGATGAAATGACGTCCTGGTAAGAGATGCAGACCTTGCTTTGTGGCATTTGTTATATAGTTTTTTTTTTGGAATATCATTTACAGATTTTTAAGTACGTGTATTTTTAAACGACGAGCGCGTCGTGAAATTACCTGAACACGATAATGGTACTAGCTCGATTTTCAGGTAGAGCCAATATTTATACAAAAACACTAGTTGTTGGTTTTTGGGATTAGTTGTATAATAATTGTCGCGAGTTGAGCACGAGAAAGAATATTTGTGGCACTATATTATCGTGTGCAATTGATAGCTTACAAATGGTATTCGGAAGTTGTCGCAGATTTCAGAAATTGCACAGGAGGTTGTCATTAATATGACTAATATGTTTACAATAAATAGGTGAATAATTTTGGCTTCTTATATATCATTTTCAGCCCGTCCATATATTTACTTCTGTTCTACAGTTTTGTGGTTCATAATTTGTTCATTGTTTCGAAGATTCATTACATTGCGCTTAGCATTAGGCCACATTCATTTGATGATTATTGAGTTTAATTTCACAGAATAAATAAAAGTTTAAAAATAATATGAATGTTAAGAGTGCAAGAAGATACAATATAAAATTATGCGTATTTCATCACACTGTTACAATTATATACCTATACATACATCGGGGCTAAATTAAAACATTTTTACACATTATATAATATGTATGACTGAACTTAAGTAAATATTCTGTAATTCCATAAAAAATTCAATCCATACAATCTGAATGCATGCTTTTAGAACAGGCCTATGTCTAGTAGTTCATTTATATTTATAACGGCTGATAATGCAAATGAACTAAGCAGTTATTTTATATCCAATATAATATGATAGTCATGCTACTGAACTATGTCGTTCAAATTTATCAAACTCTATAATTAAGCACGGATGGAATTAGACTAAAACTATTTAACTCGTATTTACGCAATTTAATTATATTACGAAAGTTTCTGTACCTTCTTGTTAACATATTGCTAATTAGAAAACATAGTACGTAGATTATAAGATGGGTACAATAGAACCATACTATTATGTATCGTATTTATTGTACTAACTAGCTGACGACAACCCGCTTCACTGTATTTTTCGTGCATCTATATCTAATACAGTTTATTTTTTCTACAAACGACGTGCATTTAAAGACTTATTTATTTCTTCTTTTGTGTTTCTTTTCTTTTTTGCACGTAGGTATATTACGTACATACTAACATTCTCATTTTTAATTATGTATTACAATAAAACATTCTTGGGTTTATGTTTTTTTAAATGTTTGACAAACCATTATCTGAAAAATGTAAAAATTTTAAATTGGAGAGAGGTTTCTCTGCGTGGTAAAGCTAGAAATGAGGATATCCGCAGTACTAACAGAGTAACTGACATAGCCCAACGGATTATTAAATTGAAATGGCAAAGGGCTGGCCATATAACTTGGAAAACCGATAAATAATAGGAAGAAAGATTTTCGAGTGGCAACCTCGTACCGGTATACGAACTGCAGGCCAGCCTCTCACTATATTGAGGGATGATATGATAAGATATGCAGGAAGTCGATAGGTGAAGGTGGCTTAGGACCATGCTTGTAGTTTGGTCCTAAGCCAGCAAGCTTGTGCATCTTAGGCTACATACCACTTACCATCACGTTTAGTTTTTGTTTAATTAGAAAACATAGTACGTAGATTATAAGTAGAGTACAATAGAACCATAGAATTATGTATCGTAATTATTGTAGTAGTAACTAGCTGACGACAATTCGCTTCCGCTTAGTAAACGTTTAAAACAAAATGGCAAATTATTTTCATTCATTCGTGGTATGTAATATTAACTGGTAAAAGGAAAGCCTTTTATTTTTTCTTTACTAGTTAGTAGTACGTATTGATAGTATGAAATAATAGCTGTTCCACACAATCTTGTGCCATGTCGTGAATTCGGCAGATTGTGATTTCGTAAGCATCATATATTTTGTATTTGTTAATTTATTTGTTGCACTACATCATTCTTTATAGCTATAATCACTTGTTCTCTCAACTATTCTTTATCCAGGTAGTTTCATTTTATACTTATTTTTTTTTTATAGGATAAGGGTGACAAACGAGCACACAGTCCACCTGATGGTAAGTGATTGCTGCGGCCCATAGACATCTACATCTATCCTCTGTTACGAATCAAAATGTAGATGCGTTGTCACCCGTGAGGACTAAGATGGAACGCCTCATTTCCAGTAAAAAGGGCCTCCGGCCACCTGCACTCACCAAGCGAAACGCAGAGGTAAACCTCTACTTCACGCTGGTATTCTGTGAGGTCGTGGTACCA